AGGAATCAAATCACTTCACTGAACCGATAAGAGAATCGATAAGGAACCAAATCTTTTTACAGAACCGATAAGAGAATGGATAAGGAATCGAATCGTTTTACAGAACCGATAAGAGAATCGATAAGGAATCGAATCGCTTTACAGAACCGATAAGAGAATCGATAAGGAATCAAATCTTTTCACAGAACCAATAAGAGAATCGTTAAAGAACCAAATCGCTTCACTGAACCGATAAGAGAATCAATAAGGAACCAAATCTTTTCACAGAACCGATAAGAGAATCGATAAGGAACCAAATCTTTTTACAGAACCGATAAGAGAATCGATAAGGAATCAAATCTTTTTACAGAACCGATAAGAGAATCAATAAGGAATCAAATCTTTTCACAGAACCGATAAGAGAATCGATAAGGAACCAAATCTTTTTACAGAACCGATAAGAGAATCGATAAGGAACCAAATCTTTTTACAGAACCGATAAGAGAATCGATAAGGAATTGAATCGTTTCACAGAATCGATAAGATAATCGATAAAGAACCGAATCGTTTCACGGAACCAATAAGAGAATTGATAAGGAATTGAATCGTTTCACAGAATCGATAAGGAATCGAATCGTTTCACGGAACCAATAAGAGAATCGATAAGGAATTTAATCGTTTCCCAGAATTGATAAGATAAACGATAAAGAACCGAATCGTTTCACAGAACCGTTAAGAGAATCGATAAGGAATCAAATCGCTTCACTGAACCGATAAGAGAATCGATAAGGAATCGAATCGTTTCACAGAACCGATAAGAGAATCGGAATCATTAAAATCTTATCAAATCCCAACCCTAATCTTAAGAGTACAAATACTCATTGCATTGGCTAATTATCTTATTTAGCTGCTCAAATTAAGGGTAAATATACCTAATTCAAGACATTTTTACTTATTTCTAGGTCGTTTTTGCAGTGTATATCCTAATTTTTTGTTTTTAAATTCAGGCAAGACAAGGTAATTGTAACTGATGTCTGTCGCAGGGAGGTGACGTCAGGGCGGCCTTGCTCACTTCATCATTGACATTTGATCTCCAACTGTGATGGTCACATGGTCAGTAACCCCACATATAACAACTTTTTCACTTTAAGTTTAAGTACTTTAAGTACTCATGGACTGATTGGGTCGTACCATCTGGAGCTCCACTATGGGGGAAGAGCATGGACTCCACATTTTAACATGTTGCATAATCTCTTCTTTTGCTTTTGTGATTTACTCATTTTGTTTAATGATAATCATTTAAGATTAACCCTTCAGCTAACTGTTTAGGTATTTTTGTTAAATTTAAATAAATGTAGATGTTCTCCCTAGCTCTTCCTCAGTGTGTCGGTCTGGTCTGATCAGTCTCCTTTGTTTGCTGTGTGTCAGGTCAGTTTTGTTGTGTTTGACCTTGATATTTTTTGCCCTTTGTTAGTCTCTTCATTTGACCTCTTTTAGGGCCCTGTAATCTTTGTTTTGATTATTGTTACTTTGGGAAAATAAAAACAATTTTTTTCCTTGACAGTCACCACTGTGTCCTCGTGCTTGGCTGGCTCGGTCCCTCACACCTACAAATCTGTTATCAAAGATATCTAGAAATTCTATGAACTTTGTAAAAATGAGAAGTCCCCTGTCCAGGGGTGATGCTGAGAAACTAGTCCATGCATTTGTTACTTCAAGGCTGGACTATTGTAATTCTTTACTATCAGGAAGTCCACAAACTGTAGTTAAAAGCCTTCAGCTGATCCAAAATGCTGCAGCCAGAGTTCTGATGAAAATGAAAAAGAGAGATCATATCTCTCCTATCCTGGCTTCTCTTCATTGGCTTCCTGTTAAATCCAGAATAGAATTTAAAATCCTCCTTCTCACATATAAAGCCTTAAATGGCCAAGCTCCATCTGATATCAGAGATCTGATTGTTCCTTATGTTCCTAACAGAGCACTTCGCTCTCAATCTGCAGGTTTACTAGTGGTTCCTAGAATGTATTTGATGTTTTAGTTATCAGGTTCCTGTCCTGTTTCTCTCTTCTAATAATAGGAGGGTAGAAATTAGTTGCATTTCCTTAAGTAGCTTTTTGAAAAGAAATATGCAGTAAATGTACATAAATTTACTTTTAACTTTTATATTTTTGTGAGAGCATCTTCACTCATGTTTGTGTAAAGTTTCTGGTTAGTCCATTCACCTTGATTAAGTAGAGGAAAAACTAAAAAACACAGAAAAAAATGGTGATGAATAACAATCATTAATAGTTAGGTGACTCAATCATGTATTTATCAAATACAAACACATCCGTAAAGATCCAATCTCAGCAGAATGTGCTGATAGTTTCGTCCCATTAATCTATTAATCATCAAAATAATTAATTACCAGAGTAACGGTGAGCAGATCTAGACCAACCAGATCAAACAAATGTAGTTAATCAAACCCAGAGATGTGAAGTAACGAAGTACAAATACTTCGTTACTGTACTCAAGTAGATTTTTCTATTTTTACTTTACTTTACTACTTATTTTTATGGCGACTTTTTACTTCTACTCCTTACATTTTTACACAAATATCTGTACTTTCTACTCCTTACATTTTAAAAATTGTCTCGTTACTTTAGTTTTGAATCATTTCAATGGAGTTACCGTTATTATTTTTCACGTCATCAATACCAAATTCAATCTAATTGGATGGGAATCTACGTTGCATTTGACGCACCACTACAAGATGAATCGACAGATTCGGCGGAATTCATTGGCGGCAAATCATTGCAGCTTGGTGGCGGTGGCGTTAACATAGTAGCATGGACGACGAGATGATTGAAAATGAACACAACGGAGATCTAGTCCTATTGGCAGACATCCATTTAAAATGTAGGCAACGGCATGAAAAAAGTGGTTTCTACTTTTACTTTTATACTTTAAGTAAATTTACAAGCCTGTACTTTGTTACTTTTACTTGAGTAAAGAAGTTTAATCAGTACTTCCAATTTTACCAGAGTATTTTTTAACACAATTATCGGTACTTTTACTCAAGTACGGAAAGTGAGTACTTTTGCCATCTCTGATCAAACACAAACCGATTAAAAATGGAGGCCCGGCCGGTCGCATTAACACACTGGTCTGAGCACGGTTCTGGCTAACTCAGCTGACATATAAAACTAATTATTCAGCCACTGGAAATGTTTTTCTAACTAATAGTAGAGCAACAAGGTCTATGATAATCTCAGCTGGAGCCGTAACATGAATCCATTAGAGGAGAGAGTTGGAGATAATTGTTTCCATCTAGGAGGTTACCAAAGAGAAATAAGAAGGATATCAGTGGAAATATGCAGAAATTAGACAAACAGTTTATTATTGTCATGGAAATAAACATTATTTTTCCATGATTATTGAGAAGCAAATAAAATACGTTTAAACGTACTTGAAGAAAATTAAACTGCTAATCAATTCCATCTCACCCAGGATCTCTGAATGTCCCTTACTTTAAGTTTGTGTTAAAAAAAAACAAAAAAAAAACAGGTATATACTGGTTCTAAAAGTCACCGTTTTAAAGAAACTGAAGTTTTAAAGAAACTGAAGTTGTCAAAGTTTATGCAGTAGGTCTATAAGCGTTTAGCTGCTAGGTCTGCAGATCATGATGGCTGGAGGAGGTAGCCTCGGGAGACCATCCTGATCTTGCGAGCTGTCAAGGTTTACGAAGGCTAGAAATGGAATAAAATGAGTTAGCATCATCAGGCTAATGTAGTAAAACTATTTCACAAAGAATTGGAGTCAGTGGGTCACATGACCTGGAAGCTATTGAGGAAAAGTCCAAACTTTTGTCTTTAAAAATATCTTAAAAAGTGTAAATAGCTTAAAATTCCATAAAAGCAAGGGTGCCTTTCATACGTTATCTATTGGCATGATTTTATATAAGTTTCGTCTTAGCGGCTCATAAGATAAGGACTTTATAGATTTTTGTTTCTCAAGAGTGCTTGGTTCAAAATTTGTTGACGGTCCCTAGCTGCTAGCCTCGTGAGACCATCCTGATCTCGCGAGCTTTCAAGGTTTCACTCGCTAATCAGTCTGGAGACTCTCTGTTAAAGAAAATCTGGAGCCGTTCACCAAACGAACGTCCAATCAGCGTTGGCTTTGAGGCGGGTTGAGGTGTGACGCAACGAGAAGCGCGACAGTTCAGTCTAAAGAACATGGCGGCTTCAGCCGATGAAACTAGCGTTAGCGTGGCTATCGAGCAAGTTTTATCGGAATTACAGAGTATTTCTTCACTGAAAGAAGAGCAAAACACTGCTCTGGAGGCTTTTCTCAGAGGAAAAGATGTTTTTGCTCTTCTCCTGACTGGTTTCGGCAAGAGTTTGATCTATCAATTGGCTCCTCTTCGTCGTCGCTCTGTTAGTACGTCATATGCTTCGTTGATCTGATTAGTTTATTTGGCCCGTCTATCACCAACATAGGCCAATCAGCTAACCAGTATTTTCACCCCTTCCCAAAATTCAACGGAAGGTTTCCAGCTGGATATGCGGAGCAAATCCAGCTGGCGGAGTCAGGTTATGGAGGAGGAGGGTGCGCCCTAAACTTTACCACCATCTTTGGTCCTTTCAGACAGCTCAGCACCAAACTATCTAATACTTTACAGTCAGCTATACTGTAACTCAGTTCAATTCAGTTTATTTCTATAGCTCCAATTCACATCATGTCATCTCAGGTCACTTTCCAGTTCACCAGATCATCCAGTCAGATTGATTCAAAGTTTTCCATCTAAGGAAAACCAGCTGATTGCATCGAGGCATTGACTCGAAGGCAATCCCTCACATACATGAAATCCCAAATCACGGAAGCGTAACTGAATGCAAACTTTTTTATTTTGTTTCCCTAACATCTACATTGTGTTTCAATGCTGGACAGCAGACTGTTTCAGGCTGAACAAGAAACATTTACACCAACTTGTTCATCAAGTGTGAGACCATGATGAAATGAGTAAGAAAAGTGAAGGTAGCTGGGAGCAATATCAAAATATCAAACAGGACCAGAAGCGATTAAAGCCAAATGCATCATTAAGTCTATACTCTAAACTCACTTTGATTTCCTCTTTGCTAAAAATCTACTTTCACACACAAACAACCTGCACATCCAAATACATCGTTAGTCTCCAAAAGTCTCCAGGCTTCTGCTTGTTGAATTCACCATCCATAGGAGGAATGTCTAGATGTCACCCAGGGAGGAGGATGATGGGGGTACGGGTGCCTTCTGCTCGTCATCCCTCTCCACCTCCTCCTCTCAATGGGAAAATCACGCTGAAAACGAGGATGGAAACGACCACCTGAACAGAGCAAGGAAAGGTCATGCGGCCTCCTGAGCCGTTCTGTAGGGAATCCAACTCGTTTTTGGCTACAGCCACAGTTGGTCTCAGTGGAAACAGAGAAATCAGTAAGCTATGGTGATATTTAATCAGTTTGGAGGAAAAGGCTTCACACAATGTAGGTCCTGCAGGAGTGGGATTAAGCTATCAGCTAGTATAGGTTATGGGAACAGCCGGGCTAACGTTAGCCCTGGCTAACAGATGGGCTAACGTTAGCCATGGCTAACAGACGGGCTAACGTCCCTCCCCAAAAATAGTAAGCGTAAAATTAGTAATGTGCTTTGATGGCGCAGTGGTTAGCGCACACGACCCATATAGGGAGGCTTTAGTCCTCATTGTGGACTAGAGACTGACATTTTTTCGGGAATCCCACGGGTCATGGGATTCCCGTGGGATGGGAGTCACTATTGGGACGGTACAGGATTAAACATTAACGGGAGCAGACGGGAGCGGGAGCAAACTAATAGAAACTTAAAAAAACTAGGATCGATGCCAAAAAATAAAATAAAATGGAAAGAAAAAAAATCCAGTACTGGCGCCGCCATCTTGTAGTTTTTTTCCTTGAAGCCTACACTATGTCAATGTCAAATTTATTTATATAGCACTTTAAAAACAGGTATAAAACTGCAACAAAGTGCTGTACAGGACAAACAATAGTAATAATTAATAAAAACAGATTATCAAAACACTTCAAGTAAATGCCAAAGAATAAAAATGAGTTTTAAGAAGCGATTTAAAATGATCCAGGCTGTGGGCAGATTTAATTTGAAAAGGTAAATTGTTCCATAGAATTGGAGCAACAACAGAAAAAGCCCGATCTCCTTTCCTCTTAAGTCGGGTCCGAGGGACTGTCAGTAATAGCTGATTATTTGATCGTAAGCTTCTGGATACAGAATGAAATTTTAAAAGGTCCCGAAGATAGGGAGGAGCTAATCCATTTAAAACCTTATAAGTTAATTAAAGAATCTTAAAATCTATTCGATAAAAGACGGGCAGCCAATGTAAAGAGGCCAGTATGGGCCTTATATGGTCACGCTTCCTGGTTCCTGTAAGAAGCCGTGCCGCTGCGTTCTGGAGCATTTGAAGTCGCTGCATCTGTGATTTATCCATGCCTCTATATAATGAATTGCAATAATCCAAACGAGATGTGATGAAAGCATGGATAAGTCCTTCAAAGTCCTTAAAACAAAAATAGGATTTAATTTTTGCTAAAATACGCAGGTGATAAAAACTTGATCTAACAACAGAGCTAACTTGTTTATCTAGCTTTAAACAGCTATCAAAAGTGAAACCAAGATTCCTAGCAGAGGTCTGACAAAACTGAGCAAAGAACCAAGAATCAGATCTGGATTTGTAGTCTGAGGACTTTGACCAAATAATTAAACTTGGGTTTTTCTGTGATTGAAGTGAAGTAAATTTTGTTCCATCCAAGATTTGACTTCAGCTAAACAATCCATCAATAGCTGAAGAGATTCAGTTTTACCATTCTGTAGTTTAAGGGGCATATAAATCTGGACATCATCTGCAAAAACTATAATGCGGGTCAAAAAAACTACACAACCCAAAAACCAACAGTGCTTTCACTCGCGCTCAAAAACAACAATGGAGGGACCAACAGTTACTAGAGATAGAAACAGGAACTTAACTGACCCTTCATAGATATTCAGATTCAATTTATTGGCAGAAATCCTATTGAAGACAACAAGAATGGGAGTGGTGCAGGAGCGGGAGTCATTCTGAATGGGAGCGGGATGGGAGTGGGAGTAATTTCACAAGGAGTGGGACGGGACAGGATTTAGATTTCTACTCTGGCCCGGGATCGGGACACAATTTTTTTCTGTGGGAGTGGGACGGGACAGGAGTGAAAATCCACTCCCGTGTCAGTCTCTATTGTGGACGACCTGGGTTCAAATCCAGCCTGTGGTCATTTGCCGCATGCCTCTCTCATACTCGCTTTCCACCCTTGTGCAATCATGTTCGCACATCTGAAAACAGTTTAGCTCGTTACAGAAGCTACAAAACTGACCTGCCTTTGAGCAGATTGAGTTTCTGGAGTATCACACTTGTGGTGTCAATTGAACGCCCAAAATGGCCAGAAACAGAGAACTTTCGTCTGAAACTCGACAATGTATTCTTGTTCTTAGAAATGAAGGCTATTCAATGCGAGAAATTGCTAAAAATTTGAAGATTTCCTACAACGGTGTGTACTACTCCCTTCAGAGGACAGCACAAACAGGCTCTAACCAGAGTAGAAAAAGAAGTGGGAGGCCGCGTTGCACAACTGAGCAAGAAGATAAGTACATTAGAGTCTCTAGTTTGAGAAACAGACGCCTCACAGGTCCCCAAATGGCATCTTCATTAAATAGTACCCGCAGTAGGGTTTTCTAATCATCAATTATCCTTCTGAGCCAATAAGCAAACACATTGTACCATTAGAACACTGGAGTGATAGTTGCTGGAAAGATATTGCACCAAAAACCAGACATTTGCAGCTAGAATAGTCATTTACCACATTAGCAATGTATAGAGTGTATTTCTTTAAAGTTGAGACTAGTTTAAAGTTATCTTCATTGAAAAGTACAGCGCTTTTCCTTCAAAAGTAAGGACATTTCAATGTGACCCCAAACTTTTGAACAGTAGGGTAAATCTAATCTTTTTGAGCTTTATGTTTTCCTTTCATGCTAACCTTATGGTATATAATGCGTAATCTGAAGAAAGAAACAACTGAAATGCAGATAAACACGGTTTAATCATATTTTGCTGGACTGCTCTGAGCGTGTCCCATCATGACAGAGAACCAGTTTAACGAAGAACATGTAAAAAAGCATAAAAATTGTCACACAAAAGTAGTAAAAGAGAGTTAATGATAAAAATAAGTAATTTTAGAACCCTAATTACATTATTTATGGATACCAGGATGTATATCTGTTGGCGCATGCGCAGGACGGATCGTGACAGTGAGCATCCTAATAAAGCGCTGTACTCACCAGTATTGAACTGGGAGCCCATCTGGAAGCGTTCAGCTCTGCTCTGTGGTCGGTACTGGTGTGGTAGCAATGGCCTAGCAGGAGGAAATCTCTGAAAACCTGTCAGGGGAAAAACAGGAAGGAAGAGAGAAAGTTAGAACTCCACAGAAGTCAGCTCTGGTCATTTCGATCCGTCCCAGAAGCACGATCCGACCTGAGCATGCGTGAACAGAATAATAACAGTCCGATTGCCGTAAACTATGTAATAGCAGAACTGTAAATATTCAATTATATACTTAAAACATTAAATGATAAAAAACTACATTGTATAGAAAATATTGAAGACTTTTCTGGAAGATAAATGGATACATTTTACATTCTATTGTATTGCGCGAAATCATCGGACATGTTCATCGCATCAGCGTAAGGTTACAAAGGCTATTCAAGTGTTTTTTTAATGTATTGCGTTTTTAAAAAAATCTATTTTAAGAATTTGCAATATTTATGCAAAAACAAAAATATTCAAAGAAACTCTCCGCCCAAAAAAGACAAAAGAATAAAAAAGTAAGTAAAACAAAGTATTACCTACCCAGAAGTTATTCTGTTCGCGCGCGCAGGACGGATCGTGCTTCCGGGACGGATCGGGTAGCGACAGTTTTTTTTTTTTATAAGAAAGAAATCGGCTGCATGTAGGCCGCCATTTTTTTTAGCAGGGAGACGTCACCTGGACGAGGACATGGAGCGGAAAAACGACAAACTCCAACAAAAGCAGGGCTCTGCAGTCTGCGCTGATGGACATGATGTGGCCAGGCCGCCAAAACCGGAGCATCTGGAAGCCAAAAAACAACCGTGGTTATAATCAACCACTTTCACGTGATTAAGGAATAAACTCTGCCGCGTGGAATCGGATCTGGAAACCTAGCTGGCATTCAAACAAGTTTAAAGACACACACTGATCTCTATAAACATTTAGTTTCACGCAGACATGTTCACAAGTCTCAATTCTTGAGTATGCCGTTCACAATAAGGAATTAATCGCATAATATGCTAATCACATGTATAATTAAAATAGGTGCAATAATATGCAGAGGCATTCCTTTTCTTTCTATCTCTGTCACTATTAACTCGTCCAAGATTAACTTCAATTTAATCTTGGAGACTTTTTCTGCAGCCAACTCCCTTAGAGGTTTGGTTACTGTGCTGCAACTTGCTGAGCAATATCTCTCCTCTATCGCTGGCATAAAGTTTTTAAAGCTGGGCTTTTTTCCTTTTGTCAGAAAGGACTCGATATGCTGCTCTGTCCCTCTACTCTTGCTGGGTGTTTTGATTGCTTTACTGAATTCAGAGAACCTGTAGATGAGCATTGATGTTTATTAATATAAGTACCTAGCCTTCTCCAATACCAGTTTTTTTAAAGTGTAGTAAAGTAGTGGTAGTAAAGTACCAACATTTATTAAAGGTATACAGCAAAGGTCACGGATTAGCGGAACTGCTGGCTAATCCAGACCCAACCTGATTTAATACATTTATAAATTACCACATGTTGTCTGACAACAGTGTCTAAGCATCACTTGAGCCGCTTCTCTATGGAAGCAAAGCGTTACCATATTGAAAATGAAAAAGCATTTCCAGAAATGCTTTTTCATTTTAAGAATGTGGCTGCATTGTTTGACTCATAAATGAAATTAGTAATCAATTATCCTGTTTGCATTTTCATTTTCTTCTTTATCACCGCTCATCCTTTTACGTAATTAAAATGAAAAAGAAAAAGACATTTGAGATTTATTTTTCAAAATGTACCCCTGCAAATGCATAGCAAAATTCAATTTGAAATGTAAAATTTGAAAATGAAAAAGCATTTCCAGAAATGTAGAGGGGTCAATAAATGCTTTACCTGAATTATTTATCAAGGTAAAACAAATAAAGAGTTTAAACATTAGTTAGAGTTTAAACATTTACCTCCCTTGACCGAACGCTCTGGCGATCATCCAGGATTCATAGAACCGTAGTTACATACGTAACTCGCGTTCTATTTCATGCCTACTGACTGCCAGAGGCAGTGCTTCAAGCACTGAATGACACATGTCAACAGGGTCCTGAGGGATGCAAAGAAAGAAAAAAAAAAACACCCGCCAGAACCTGGCAACAACAACAGCACCTACATCAGCGGGACGCATAAGGTAGTTGCTGCAGGACACCCTGTGGAGGATGAGGTGTCACCCAATTGAACGTGGTCAAGGTGCTCAGTGCCGACCAGGAGGCTGCTTTGCAGATGCGCTCCAGGGGTACCCCTGTCATGACAGACCTCTCACACCAACCACCCAGTAGGGGCTTACCCTGCAAGGTGTATGCCTGAGATATGGCCCCCAAGAGCCAACGATCCAGCCTCTGTTTTGATTGGGCACAACCTCTCTGAGGGCCAGCATGGCATATAAAGAGGCTGTCAGTCGCTGTGGAGCAGATATAGGCCTCAAGGGCTTTGACTGGGCACAGAGATTCAGAAGGGGTCCCAGAGACAAATCGGGATAACTGAAGGGGTGAGAGGCTGTCAGCCACTGCGAGGACTTTGAGGACGAATGAGGCATTGGTCCACAGTGTAACTGAGCCATCCAGGTTCCACCTGCAACAATGTTCAGACACAGAAAGGGCGTGCAATTCCCCCACAAGCCTAGCAAAGGCCATGGCAAGCAGGAAGGCCATCTTCCACGAGAGCCACTTCAACTCTACTACTGTCACTGGCTCAAATGGCAGAGAATGAAGAGCCTTCAGTAAGAGGCATATGAAGAACCCATGTAGGAGCTATCAGGCACCTTGGAGGATGTAAAAGTCTGGCACCCTTCAGGGACTGAACAACCTCCCTACATCTTCCAACAGAGCAACTGTTGAACCCAACATGTCAATGGGAAATGGCTGCCACTTTCTATGCGGCAGCCATTTCCCATTGGTAGACCCCTCCCACATTTTAAAGTGGGAGGGGTCTACCCCAGGTCCAACAACCCTTGAAGAAAGGTCAACAAAAAATGGCTAGGACAATGCATGGGGTCTAGCACCCTATCACCACACCAGGCACCAAACGCTGCTGAACTGGCAGAAAAGACAGCCTGGGCAGAAGGCCCCAATGTGCAGCCATGGTGCGACCTCCAAATAAGGAGGCGTAGGGCTTGGTCAAAGACCAAAAGTTAGAGCTGCAGGCGGTCTGGGTCGTGTTGAAGAATCCAACCCCCCATCTGGGAGAGGAGGTCCAACCTGGGAAGGAACATCAGAGTCGGAGCAGAGCTTGCACAGCAGAACAAACCAAGTCATGCCCAGTGGGGGCAGTGGGTCATGTCTCTGGAGACAAAGAGGTCCCCCCCTGCTCTACATGAATGTCAGCCAGATGTGATCCACCATCTCTGGGTGAAGCCACCACTTTCCTGTAAGGGGTGACGTGCGAGTGAGGAGTTCTGCAGGCCGGGAATGTAGGCTGCCCTGCAGCTGGCGAGGTTGGGTACTGCCCAAACCAGAAGTAGTTGGGTCAGGGACAGCAGCCACTGGGACCTGAACCCCCTTGGTGGTTGGTGTAAAAGACCGCCGTGGTGTTGTCCGATCGGACCAACACGTGCCTCCCCCGCAACCTAAGTGCACTAAGTGCAAGTGCTACAGCCAGCAGTTCTATGGCCTTGATGTGTTCTCTCCGTTGTTGAGCAGACAACACTCCTTGCACTGTACAGCCCTGCCAGGTTGGACCTCAGCCTCACACAGCCTCCCTTCGGCATGAAAGGGGACCAAGTGGAACCTTTGTGACGTAGAATCTGTCCCTCCACTGAGACAGAAGACACTGTGGCACCATGCGGATTTGCTAATGTCAGGTTGTTCATCCGCATATGCAGACAAAGTGGGGAGAGAAGTCCAAAGTTGAAGCACACTGGACGCAACAGTGAGTGTGCCCAGCAGGTGCAGATAATCCAGAAAACGTGGCACTGTGAGGCCTGAGGGCTTTGGTCCAATAGGCATACTTGGAAAAAGATGCCAAAAGCTGCCACCGGGAGGGCGTCCTTATCAGGGATCGAACCCTCTTTGGAAGCAGGGTAAAAACTCAACCCCTGATTGAGGGTGTGGCTGAAGGGAGTGGAGGAGGGACTTCAGTTGGCATCACCTGGGAATGCTGGAGGAGGCCGGAACCCATCCAACGGGGCTCTCCACTGCCGGTGTTGATGGCCCCACGAGCCCTGGAGAAGTTCTGAGGGGAAAGTTATCGATACATTTAGTTTTTTTTTTTTAACACCATAGTTTAGCCGTAACAGTAGGATAAACCAACTGTGATGTGATTGTCAAACCTGAGTTAGGAGCTCGTTGGCAGGACCATGGAGGTGCAAGTAGACGGTGATCCAAACCATCTCTCTGATTCTGAGACACTAAGAAATAAAATAAATTGACAACAATTCTTATTAAATTCCTGTACACATACATTTCAAGCATAAATGCTGTTAGGTTGGTGGTCAAACCATTAAATTCAGTTTATTTATATAGCACCAACACATGTCATCTTTACTGTGACATTTTAACCAGATCATCCAGTCAGACTGATTCAAAGGTTTCTAAGGAAAACCAGCTGATTGCATCGACACATTAACTCGAAGGCAATGCCTCACACCATGCATGCTTATAGTGACAGTGGAGAGGAAAAACTCCCTTTTAACAGAAAGAAACCTCAGGCTCAGTGTGAGCGGCCATCTGCTGAGGCCGACTGGGGTTCAAGGACACAGAAGCAGACATAGAAAAAGAAGCATAGATACAAAAGGCAACGTCAACCAGCTCCACAGGCGGCCCCGTCCAGGAAACACACAGCCAGGCAGACGAGCTCCGAGCCAGCTCCCATGTCAGAGGATGAAGAGAGCACATCCAGTTAGTCACAGTCAGAGAAACAGGACTACACTGAAAAACAGGCCAATCTCCAACATCTAGAAACAAAGGTGTTGATGGCAGCAGCACAGCTGATATTTCTCTCCAGGATGGAGTCACAGCCAAACAGGAACAGACCAGATGAAGCTACTATGAGAAAAAGCAGAGAGAGCATAAAGCTAAGTGGTTGAGCTAATAAATACTGCAGAAGTGGAGAATAGAGATGGAATAAAGCAGAATGATGAATGTCCTCCGGCAGTCTAAGTCTATAGCAGCATAACTATAGAGATAGCTCAGGATAACCTGAGCCACTAAGTTTGAGATTTATTAAAAAGGAAAATTGTAACCCTAACATGCATACTGACATAATTAAGCTCCTTGAACATTCACATTCACCCATGCACACCAAACTGCTAAACAAGCCAAGAACACATCAACATGTGGCAAAAGAGGAAGTTGGAATGAAAGCAACAACTGTCCTAAAAGTATGACACACACACTGATCCACTAACTATACAAGGTGACCCATGCTCACCTTTCAGACATTATCAGTCCAAAAATATGAGAAAGAAATGCAGCATTAGCAAAATAATTCTAGCATCAATGACTTTGGTCAAAACTGGAATCATGATTATTTAAAAGATTAATGATGGAGTTTGAAAAATCAAAGCACTTTTGGAGAACATGCAGCGTTGGTTGAACCATCCGTTAAAATAATTATCAAAATAATTGGCAGGGTCTTAAAGGAATAGTACACCCAAAACATGATTAGCCTTCATTTTCTACTCACCCCCATGCTGAACAACACTCTGGAGTACTTTTTTGATATCTCAAATGCATCTGGAGATCTGGGAGGCTTCTTGCTGTCTGCTGACATTCAAATAATGGAGGTCAATGGCGCCCGAGGCAGAAAGGTCCATAAAAGTCCACCAAAATGTGTCAATATTCCTCCATACTGCTCGTCCAATGTATTCCAAGTGTCCTGAGTGGGTAGCGTCCAGAATTTACTCGAAACGAAGTCATTTAGAATGTTTTTAGAGCATAAACAGTAGTGTATAGGATTTCCTGAAAGCGCGTTCACGAGGCTACGGAAACCGCGGCAGACCAAACCAGATGAAAGTGCGCATTCAGTTCGGCAAAGAACTCATGCTCTTCCTCAACACTGAAGTCCTCAGACATTTTTCTTTCGTTGTTTCTTTCTTTGCACAGGTAAACAGCACATTTCTTCTTCTACGCTTGCATTATCGGCAGAGCAGACGCTGAATGTGCACTTTCATCTGGTTTGGTCTGCCGCGGTTTCCGTAGACTCGTGAACGCGCTTTTAGGAAATCCTATACACTACTGTTTATGCTCTAAAAACATTCTAAATGACTTCGTTTCGAGTAAATTCTGGACGCTACCCACTCAGGACACTTGGAATACATTGGACGAGCAGTATGGAGGAATATTGACACGTTTTTGTGGACTTTTATGGACCTTTCTGCCTCGGGCGCCATAGACCTCCATTATTTGAATGTCAGCAGACAGCAAGAAGCCTCCCAGATCTCCAGATGCATTTGAGATATCAAAAAAGTACTCCAGAGTGTTGTTCAGTATGGGGGTGAGTAGAAAATGAAGGCTAATCATGTTTTGGGTGTACTATTCCTTTAAGGGGAACACTTATCAGTTCATTTTTATAAAAATGCGCTGTAAGAAAAAGCTGGGAAAAGCACTCAGTAACAACCATTTGCTCACCAGCTCAGAGCTCATCTACCCAACAGTTTCTTTCCTAAACAGAGCCACCTGCACAGCTAGCGTACCTTTGCTAACATAGAGCGTATTTATAGATCAGCTCTTCTTGTATGCCCACCTGTCTCCTTGAACCCCAGTCGGCCTCAGCAGATGGCCGCTCACAGTGAGCTTGACTCTGCTAGAGGTTTCCTTCTGTTTAAATGGAGTTTTTCCTCTCCACTATCTCTGCACGCATGTTCAGTGTGAGGGATTGCTGAAGAGTCAACAACAAAATACAAGCCAATATCTACTGTCACTACCGGCTCATCCAGGACGACGGTTTGAACCAATCTGACTGAATGATGTGATTAAATTGGCCCACATATATAAACTAGGGAAGCACTTTAAGGTAATGATTTCACCTAATGAATTGTATAGATTTTGACACATCAAATAACACAATTTCATTATTTGTTTTATTATTATTTTGAGCAAAATAATGTAATGAAATTAATGAAGTGGGGAAAAAAATGTTGACACTAAGAAGAGCAAGTACAGCTGTTGTATGGAGGCTGCATCCTGACAATGCATGAGGTTGGGAGGTCATTTCATGCTAGCGTCAGGATTACCGGCCATCAGGGAGTCAGAGTGGCTCGATTCTGGAAAAGAAGCTAAATTGAAAACTCTGGCAAATGCTTTAAAGGTTCACATCGCCCAGAGACACGAAACAAGACAGAATATTCATATTTCTGCGTAGGATTTGTGAAATGATGGTATGTCTTTTCTCAGCCTAACTGGCTTGAAGGGAAGGCCAGGAGAGATAAAGATCAGTGGTTAAGGCTTCCTCAGCCTCCCTTAAGGAACGGAAGACAGCTGTTGTAAAAGATTTTATCTGACAAGTGAAACATGTATGTCCTTGATGGACTGAAGTTGTTTTTCTTGGGAGCAACCAATGTGCATATAAGGAGCAGTGGTTTCAAAAGTACACACATTTGTTACTTCAGTAGAAGTATAGATACTGCAGCTTAAAAACACTCTGGTAAAAGTTGAAGTATCAAGTTGACCTCTTTACTTAAGTAAAAGTGAAAAAGTATGTGCTCCAAAAACTACTTAAAGTATAAAAGTATAAAGTAACCTTTAAGAAAAACGCCAGATGCCACTATATGAACTAAAAGCTCAATTTTTCGACTATTTTGAAAAATTCTCTGAGATAGGGCCAAGCATG